TCAATCATAAAAATTTATTCAAATAGAAAAAAAGGATTTGTAAAATAGAACAGAAAGGAGTCAGTGTGAGATCTGTGGGGATCGGTTCTTCAATAAAATGATGCGGGCCCAGGAGGGCTCTTTGTGTCCAAATCCGTCGAGATGTTCAGTTTATTCTCCCCGTCGCCCAGTTCCACATCGAAAGCTTTCTTCTTGTCGAAATCCGTCGAGATGTTCAGTTTATTCTTCCCGTCGCCTAACTCCAGACCCCAAACTTCTTTTTCTTGCGCTTCTGCACTGATTTTTGTACCATCATGCAAGTGCACGTCGACATACGCCTGATTCTGCTTCAAATCGGTTCCGACGTTAAATTTTTGATCTACATCGCTGAAGCCTACTTTCACGGCTTCTTTACCGACACCAATGCTGAGCGATTGATCTTTGGTTTTGATATCGATTTGTGCACCCGAATCTTTGGCACCCAGTTGAATGCTAGTGTCGCCATCGCTAATTTTGATTTCACCACCTTCTTGACCAACGTCAAGCGAAAATTCGGTGTCATCTTGTTTGATTAGTACCTCGGCTTTTTTGTCCTTAGACGAGAATTTGAGCTTATGCTCGGTTTTTTTTTGTTTTCATGTGCATTTTTGCGCCGTCGTCTTTGTTAAATCCAGCTTCGATAGCAAAATTACGTCCTTTGATCATAATATCAGCGCCTTTTCCTTTCGAATACGTAGCACCAGCACCGAATTCGTTGATTTGCAATTTGACCCCGTCTTTTCCCACATGAGCCATCATCCCTTTTGTCTCTGCTTTTCTACTCGTTATTTGGCGGATGGCATCTATTTTCTTGTTCACATTCCAGTTTTGTGGTGTTTTACTGTTCCCCGATATTACACTCGATTGAATTTTGTGTTTAACCTCATTTGTAGTTTCCAAATGCCCAAGTGAAACGGAGCCGATTGCTTTTTGAGTGGGAATGATTTTGACGCTAGTCGATTTGCTAATCATGTAGGCGTGCTCATCAATATCGTTAGCTTGAACGCGTTCGGCGAATTCTTCAACCTCTTGATTTGAAGAGATGAGTCCTCCTGTTAGTTGGAGACGTTTCATTTTCAAGTTTTTTGTGGTAATGGCTTGGTGAGAATGAATGCTGGAGATCGTTTTGATCTGAGCGATGTCTTCGTTTCTTTGATCGACGTCCACCCCAGGAACAGGCACTGATACGCCTAAAAAATTAGATGTTTTAGTTCTGATCTTTAAGTGAATTTTTTCGTTTAAGCTTTCGAAATTTTAAGATCCCAAGCACCACTGTGTATTCTTTGCCTCTTTAAAAGGAATTTCTCTTGAAAAATTGCAATTAAAACCTTTTGAATAATCCCCTCTGATGATCCTTTAAAAGGGTTCAATTGCAATTTTACCTCTGATGAATATGAATTTCTTTAAATTCTCACCTCCGATGACGATACACCCGATATCCACGGACACTTTATCGCTGCTGCTCGTTCTTGTCGACAACGTTGACGTGATTTCCATGGTGTCCACATCTCCCTTTACCTCGTCACACATTATATTTGCATTTTCTAACTTCACATTTTTTTCTTGAACACAATCGAGCCTCCAACATTTGTTAGTTGATTTGTATATTCTACGGCTTTTGACGCGCTTTTCTCTGTGGTTATGTTGATTTTCAGCTCAGTGGGGACCAAAGAGATTGTAAGACTTGATGATTCCATGCTAGATTCAAGTTTGTTTCCGATAAACTCAACATCCGGAGCGTCGATTATGAATTGACCCGTATTAATCTGCATGCCTTGGGCAACGAATTTTTTGGCCTTTATTTCCAAAGCCCCTGATGTTATCGAATTTTCGGCGATTGTCTGATATTTTTTGTTGGTTTCTGTATGGTTGAAACTGAGGGAGGTGAAGTTAAAACCTGAGCTTTGAGTGTACTCCTCATGCTTTAAAATCCGCTCCTTAAATGTTACTTCTCCTTCTTCAGCCAGCATGAATGTTTTTCCCTGGTTTTCAACACTTGATCCTTCGATTATAATGTGACCTTTTGTTGATTTGATTATATTAGAATCGTCGCCTTTTGTGATAAGTCTTGTTCCCTCGCTCATTTCTTGTGAATTGTAGCTGCTAGAGTTGTTCAGGCCCCACCAACTACTTTTGGTCGTTCGGGTAGTTCGCTGGGTTACCAAATCCAACAATTCAATGTTTCCTTCAACATCTAGGTAGACGTTTTCACCTGCAGTTATGTCGGTGGCGATCGAAGTGATTCCACCGTGTTCATTTTGCATAATGATTTTCCCGCCGGAAGCTATGTTCGATTTGTTAACGTCGGTCGAAGTGGTAGTCGTTGTTTTTTTGTTGAAGCCTAAAAAGCCTGACTTTTTTTCTGTTTGAGATCGGTGGGTAGTAGCGGCACTGGCCGTGATTCCGTGCGTGCCTTGTAGGATCATGTCGCCTTGACTGGATAGATTTGACGCGTAGACGTCTATTTTATTGCCGGCGTTCATGTGAAGACCTAAAGCGTTAAAATGTAAAACGTTATAACCACGATCCGGGTCCGAAGCAGGGCTGCAATACCCAATCCTGCCCTTTTAAAACCTTTCGGACGGTTTCGGCACACCAAAAAGGACAATTAAGCCCGGATATCAATATACAATAAGTTTTCCAGCTGGATGAATTGGAAATTTGTAAGAGATTAGCGCTCGACTCGGATCGAATTAAGCCTAAATCGTTGAATATGATTTTAGTGAAAAACGTGACATCTCACATTTTTCAAGCATATTCTGAAACTTAAGGTTTGCATGTGAGTTTTAAAATTTAGGGCTTTTTTACAGATTTCCGGTTCGTCCAGCTGGAAAACTTGTCGGATATTGATTTCTGGTTCCGATATCCGACCGAACGGATTCGAACGATTAGGTTTATTCTGAAGTTATTCGGCATTAGCGACCAAGTTATAATAGAAAGGCTGCGCGAGGGCAATTTTTTACCTCTAAGTGCTAAATTCGCCGAATAACTTCAGAAATTTGGCATTAAGCTTGTAAGTTTTTGAGAATAATCTGGTGCAAATCTCATTCAAATATATTGATTTTACGCTGAGATATTAGCAATTTAGAAAAGGGCCAAGACTTAGTTTACAACCTAATACAGTCAAACTTCGATATAACGAACATTTTCTGGATAAATTACCGTATACTTTTAGTTTTTTGAGTGAATATTATTATATTTTCGTTGAAATTGAGTTAGGTATCTTAAAATTAGTTTACTTTTTGCTTGTCCACAATTTTTATTAAGTATACTTTTTCCTGTTATTCTTCATTTTTAGTAATAGCTTTATTTTTAGGTGATGGATCGAGTGAAAGCAAGTCGGTGATCAATCAATTTGGCTTTAAAGAAGCGGATACTTGACCAATCGTCTTCAAAGGGAACTTCTGAATTGGCCAGGGATTTTGATCTACCACCATTCTTGGCAAGAGGTTAGCCATATTGGAAGCAATTGATGATGGAGGAGTCACAGAAAAGGGCACGACTGAAGACGAGCAAATACGAGCTTATTGAGGAAGGAGTGCTTACTTGATTGAAAACAAGCTCGAAGCCAAAACGAATGCGTGGATGGGGATTTACTTCGTAAAAAAGCGATAAAGTTGGCAAAAATGATGGGAGCTACTGATTTTCAAGCGAGTGGCGGCTGGTTGGACAAATTTAAGAAGTGACATGAGATTGTTTTTCGAACTCTACAAGGAGAAACTGCCGAGATTAATCTCGATGATGTCGAAAAGTTGAAAGCCGAAGTGCTAAATGAGCTTTTAATGGAATTCAACCCAAAAGATGTTTTCAATTTGGACAAAACCGCTTTATTTTGAAGATTGACGCCAAATAAAACAATGTCATTTAAGGGAGATCGGTGCACAAGTGGAAAAAAGCAAAGAACGAGTGACGAGTCTTGTTGGAACAAATATGGACGGAAGTAAAAAGTGTCCGCTTTTGATAATCGGAAAGGCCAAGCTACCAAGATGTTTCAAAGACACTAAAAAGCTTCAAATTCTGTACGAGGCCAATTTGAAAGCATTGATGACATGCGAATTATTTGAGGACTATATTAGCAAATGGAACCAAAAGCTGGTAAAGTTCAATCGGAAGATTCTACTTTTATTGATAATTCCCCTGCTCATCCAAAAATTGTTTTATCAAACTTTCGACTGCGATTCTCCCTTCCAAATACAACAGCTGCTATTCAGCTGACATGGGAGTTATCAAAAATCTCAAAGTAAAGTATTAAGGATTTTTGATGAAGCGGAGAATCAACGCAACTGACCAGAACGTTACTTTCAACTTTGATTTGTTGGACGCAATCCATTTGCTTGAACAATCCTGGAACGAAGTCAAGAGTTCGACCTTGATAAATTGTTTCCGAAAGCGGGATTTATTACGCGTGATTCAGCACACAGAGGAGATGACATTGTTGAAGAGCATTTTGACGACGGAGGCGCTGAACTTTTTTCGGATCCGATTTGGGATCAATTAAATGATTCTGATTAATTAAAGTTAATTAATTCTCGTGTTGATGCCATGGATTTGGCATTTGTCGATGAAGATGTTGCTACAACAGGAATTCGAACTTTGGATCAAATAGCAAAAGGTTTGCAAACAATGAAAATTCCTTCGGGAAGCGAGAAAGAGGAAATGATTGAGGATGAAATTTCAATCTCCCAAAGTGAAGCTTATTATCATTTTCAAATGGTTCAACGATACATAAAAAAGAACGGAACAACAGAAACTTTTTTCGGCAATGAATGCCATTGACAATTTTTTCGACTAACAAGCTTCCTTGTTACAAAGCAATCTCATTTAACAGATTTTTTTAATGTTCTTTAGATAGTTGATTGTTGATAATTGTTCATTAGCTAACGATAAAACCAGTGGCTATTTCTATACAACGAATTTCAACAGAAATTAAGATTGTTGTTTCTATATAACGAATTATTTTTCCGGTCCCTTGCGATTCGTTATATCGAAGTTCGCTGTATATTCAAACACTCGATTAGGGCAAACAGACCTTTCGTGCGCCCTTCGCTCCCATAAGCATTTCCTTTTCCAGCTCTAATATTGCTTGCTTTTGCTCTCGATCCCGAATGTTTCGCCGCATGTATATTTATGTCTCGAGCAGCTTTCATGTGAATCGAGTTTCCTGCAACATCCGAATGTTTTACATTTATTGAGCCTCTATTGCTCATCAGCCCAACATCACCGCCAGCTGATAAACTCGCATCATTCAAGTTAAGATCCCCATCTAAAGCTTGTGCATGAAATGATTTTGACGTTGAAACTCGGCCGACAATATCAATACTTTTGAATTTCAACGATAAACTGCAATTTCGACTGAGGCTTCCGAGTACGAGTTTTTCATCGGTGACAGCCAAATCGAGCATATCTCTAACTTCCATCGATCGGAACACCCCATTGCCTTCTAGCAAATTTTTTGCATTTTGGCCTTCCATTCTTCTACATTCAATCGATAAAGTCCCGAAACGGTGATTGGCCTGACCGGAAGCTGTCAAAAGATTTACGTTGTTTTGCGCCTTAGCTCTCATTTTTCCGGCATCTACCCGACCGATCAAGTTCACATCAGCATTTTCAGACATCACCGAAATGCTATCAACAACAGCATCACCTATGTTTACGTTTTTCTTGGCATCAATCACAACGTTTTTGCCTTTAATGCCAGGTACCGTTGCGGCTCCTTGCTTGGCCGTCAGTTTCGCAAGATCCGATGTGGCATTTGTAACATTTAGATCGTCTTCCGCTTCTGCTGCGAGTTTTTCCGAGTGAAAAACTCGTACTCGGAAGCCTCAGTCAGAATCATTTCATGCACAGTTCATCGTTGAAATTCAAAAGTATTGATATTGTCGGCCGAGTTTCAACGTCAAAATCATTTCATGCACAAGCTTTAGATGGGGATCTTAACTTGAATGGTGCGAGTTTATCAGCTGGCGGTGATGTTGGGCTGATGAGCAATAGAGGCTCAATAAATGTAAAACATTCGGATGTTGCAGGAAACTCGATTCACATGAAGATGCTGTGAACTTCCCGGAAATTTCGATTGTGGAACTTTGAGCTTCTTTGGGATCTTCAGAAGTCAAGTCAACCGCTTTTTGAATGGCTTCATTGGATGTCATGTAAATGTTGGAAGATGTGTTCACGGTGCCGGTGATATCTAAATGTTCTTCTGATTTTTAGCTTAAAAACTTCCTGTCTTGCCAACTTAAAGATTTTCCCCTCAAAACTCTTACCTATTTTATCCTTGACCACGAATTGGACTGCCTTCTTCTCGTCTTGTTCTACCAATTTCAAATTCACATCTTTATCCTTCAGAACTTCCATTTCTTTAGCTTTCAAATAATTCATTTTCATGTTTGTCATCTTTTCGAATTCCACTCGAACGTCTTCGGCTAATCTATGATGCACACATTGCTCGACACCATTCCCTTGCAAAACCACTTTTTGGACTGCTTTTCCCACATGCAAGTTTATTATTTGAGAAGCCCCATTGTTGCCGAAATGAAACGCTTCAACTTCGTTTTCGAATCGCAAATTTCTAGCTTGGAGCAAACCGTTTTCCTGAATTTCTATCAAGAAAGTTTTGTCTACGGACTTTTGAGGAGAAACAATCAATAAATTAAATTCATGATTCCCATAGATTTTCAAAGAGTTCTCTCCCAAAATGCGTGTCACTTCATTTTTCGTCTTTCCGAGTTTGATATCCGAATGAAGCTCGACATTTTTACCCATGATTTGGCACGATTTTGTGGGTAGGATGCATTCAGAAAGTTCATTCGATTTGCAGCAAAATTCGAACTTTGGAGATACATTTGCTGAGATGGCTAACTTTTCTTCCACATCAAGACAGCCATCTAGTTTACAATCGTTGATGGTCGTGTATTTGATATCGGCATTGGTAGCGGTTATTTGTCCACGGAGATTATCGATATCATTGACTTTGATCTCAAGGCGGATTGCCTAAGAAAGTTTTTATGAGAAAAAGGTGGTCAAACAAAATATATTTGTCTACTTTTTATCTTATTGAAATAACTCTCAAGAGCTGGAATTAAAGAAGAGAAACAAGTTGGGAAATTTCAGAACCCCAAATTGTACCTAGAGCTTGTAAAAAAAGTGTCTGTCAATTAGTACGCGCTTACCTGAACAACAGATTCGTTCACCAAATTTCCCTTTCCAAAAATCCGTAATACGTGTGCTATCAGGGCTTCTTGATTGACCATTTTCTCTTGTATGCAAAAATTTGCGTCCATCAAATACGGGCAACTTTTCTCATAACTCCCATACTTCCACACCCATTATTCACCAGTTTCTCGGCAAACACACAGTTTGAGGTGCTCGTTTGGATGATCGCACCGTTGTGGAGAGTATATTTGCAGATGATCCGTTGTTGAGGGTCATTAGATGAGGCGAGAAAGATTTGGGCTCGTGATTGGGTGAACAAGGTTCGACATTCCACTAAATTGCTAGCTTTTTCATCGGTCGAAACGTTGTTGCAAAGGACAATTCGACCGATATTAGAGCATTGGACGTCCACCTAAAATTTTGTGCTATAAAAGTCATTGCAGATCTTAAACGAGACTTCAAAATTTAAACTGACATTTAAACTATTTCCGTCACTCTTTTAATCATATTTTCTTAAGGATTGTAAGAAAAGGGTTGAAGTTTTTTTTTTTGAAAAGTATAGTTCGCGACATTTCCTCTTTTTGACGCCCTTTCCTAAAAATGCCACTTACTTCTGATCCAAAAATTCCATGTGCGTGCAACCATCCATTTATTGAAAACCCGAAATATGCACTCTCATCCCTTACTTCCAAATTCTCCTTTTCTCGATACTCCAAATACAACGCTTTTTCGTGCACTTTGAGCAATCCATTCACCGAGAAAAACGATTTCTCCAAGGAGTTCAGCGTGATCGCAGCTTGATCGGCATAAACTTCTCCACTTGAAATCACATTTCCAATCGCCAAAATGATGAGCAGCCTTGTCTCGACCAATCCCAACCATTCTCCATCTTGTGAAGTGTTGATTTTGAGTGTAAGCTTTCCATCTACCTTTAGTTGTCCAGATTGAGACTGCTCGAAATTGGCGCTAGCTATCTGAAGCAGATCCTCAATAGCCCAAGTGCCTTTATTGCGAAAGTGTTCATTAAGCACATCGCCAGTGTTGGCTTCAATTTTTGCATGAGTTGAAATGAAAATCTTCTTATTGCTGAAAAGATGCATTTCTTTGAATTGCCATATACCGAAAGTGGCCGACCACATGCCGACGATTCCATGAAAATTTGATGCCGTTAAAAACGCGTTGCTCCCGGTTTTGAAGTTTTCATAAACATTTGTTGTTAGTCGATTTCTGACGGATAGAAAGCCGTTGCATTCAAGGAGCTTTGTGTTGATCTCGAGAAAATCCTCGACGCCAAATTCCGTGTTCTCATGAAAAACAGTTTGCTCGTCAACCGAGAAAGCTCCGCTCAAAATCTTGATTTGTCCATAAACGTCGAAACTTTTTGCAACGTCCATATTCACCAATCCAGAAGACCAGATAGAATCATTCTCACAAATTGCCAACCCACCCACTTTCAAAGCAACTCGTTCACCTTCAATTTGAGCACAATCCTCCAAATTGTTTTCTAACTTTAACTTAATTGAGAGAGCTGTGATCTTTCCCCGTTTCCAATCATGCGTTTTCATTAGCGCTTCGGTTTGGTAGTCGTTAGTGTCCATATTTTTCAGCGACTTTCTAGCCAACTTTCGAGGTGTCGTTACACCCTTCTCGCATTCAATTTCTTCTTTTGAATCGACACCAGACTCGAGTAGACTAGCGACTTGAGACACTTTTTTCTCGTTTATCGATTTACCAAGAGTTTCAGAGGAGAGTTGGCCAGTGTCGGAATGGTCATGTGCGATTTTGAATAGACCTTTGATAGCTTTAAAACCCCGATGTGCTGTGTCGGATTTGTTGTCACGAACGGAAAGGATATTCCCAATAGAAAGATCGATAAGGGAACTGGAGATGATTTGGCCAAAATTGCTAATGGAACCTGAAAAGATTCTCAAGAAAATTGTACAAATTGCTTACTACAATCTTTGGTAATTTTGGCATGAAAAAAACTCGACTTTGACGGCCATGTTTTTTTGATGCAAAAACCGGGGTTGCTTCTTAACTTAATTGAGCAAATTTTTAAAAAAAACTATTTTTTATATCAAAAGTTTCTACAAGAGAACAACGTTTTAGATTTGAAAGTAATTTTCCCAGTTCTTGAAAGCTTTTGGAGCGATTTTCAAGCCAATGCTCGACTCGCGTACCTGTTATTTTCCCGATCACACGTTTGCTAATCTTTCCACTTATATCAACCCCAATATAGCCGCCAATCGAAATGTGCAATTGATTCGCGCAGATGTTGAGTTCCAATTCCGGCGCGTACAAATGGCCATCGAAAGACAAGGCAACTGAATCAGTTTGGAATTTTCGACAATTAATGCATGTTTCCAATGTTCGAATCGAGAAGTCAATTGCATGGAGATTAAGCACGTTGAAGTCGAGCTTGTTCGAATTGAGAAAGAGATCATTTTCGGTGGAAACTAGCGAGAGACAATCGCCGGTCAGTGATTTGGCACGTTCGACTTGCAAATTCGGAGCTTCGATGACCAAGTCTTTGATGATTTTGGAAGCGGTTTTTATGATTGTCGTTTTTAGCTCTCCTTAGGAAACAAGTTCTTTTGTCTAAAAAATAGTTTTTGAAGAAAAAGTTATTTACAAGCTTTTACCTTGAGCGTCACTTTCAAAACTAAGTTGTTGTTGACTTCGTTTAATGAAACACCCAAATTTTGGCCCATGCCTAGCACCATTTCTTTGTCTTTATGAGAACTGGACCATTTTCTATGGTCTGTCACATGAACACAAATTTCATCGAGTTTGTAATTGATTGAGTTCGTCGAATTTGCAGATTTTGTTTGAATGATCAAAATTTTCAGTTTTGGAATAGTTTGCATTGTTGCACTATCTAAAGTAAATACTTTTAAAGTTTAAAAAAAGATAGAGGAAAATGTATAACACAAAGCTAAAATCAATACGGGACCTGGCAAGTGGAAGCGTGAGACAACGCTCAAACTCGTTTCGCTATCAGAACATTGGATTTCTTTTTTGATGCTGCAAGAATTTGGTCTTTCTCCAAAAATCAGTTCTTCTCTCTCCCCTTTCTTTAAAACTTCTTATCAGTTAACACACAAAAATAATAACGACAAAGCTGACAAAGGAAAGCGAACAATTAACTTCGAGTTGGGGTTTCAAATCTTAAAGGAGGTGTAACAATCGTGGCCTATTCTCACTAAAAAAATTTTTCGAGAAAATGCGTTTATTTTGTGTTTATTTGTTAGATTTATTGCTTTATAAAAATAAATTGGCCAAATTAATTTGAGCTCAAAATAGAGTTATTCACATTTCGCGTGGCCAATCTTCTAGGGCTTTTTATCTGGATTTTGTATTTTCTTTTGGTTTTTTTGGTGCTTTTTTATGTGTCATAAAAGTTTCAGTTTAGGTTAAACAATGTCGGATGAGAAGGAAGTTATCTCGAAACCCAAGTATCTTC